TAATCTATGAATCTAGGGGGTTTTGAATTGGAGAAGCAAGAAGGGATGCAGTATATTTTTTTTTAAAAATCTGTAAAATCATAGTACAGAAGTAAACCTTTTCAAAAGGTTTCACAATGCAAAAAGAGACTGCATTCTCTAGGTCTGCACAGGCCTGAAATATTACCTGTAAGTGAGAACTTAAGTACCTTATTTGCTGCTTGTGAAGTTGAAATGATTTGTTTGATAATAGAGTTTGATAAATGTGAGTAGTAATTCAGAGATCATATTTCATATTTAAAGACGTAAATCATTAATATAATCTTGATTATTGTGACAAAAAGTTAGAAATCTGAATTGTATTCTACCTTGCATGTATGCAGTATTGCAGATAATCAGAAGTTAGTGAATATGCATGCTTTTAAAAATTATGCTCCAAGTTTGTGGTGTACCTTTAGAGTTACTGGACTGAAAAAGCTTCTATATTAAAATGTATATAAGGTTTTCCTTCACTGTCCACCCTTATGGTTAATCATTTTAGAAATGCGTAGCATTTATCGTGCTTTGGTCTTTCTTATTAATCAAGAACTTATGTTTTCCAAGTATAACTAGGTTGTTGTTTTCCTGTTAGCCTTTTTTATAGCTATATTAGTTTTTTGTGTCAGCTGTTTAAAAATACATTTTTACTAAAAATGGATATGCAGCTCAGTAGCAATAGCTATGAATACAGTGGTTTTGTAATGGGTTGCTAGAAAAATAGCAGTAAATAGTGTAAACGAATGATTTTTTTTTTTTTTTCAGTGATCTGTTAGAAAAATGTGAACTGAAAACATCCATGCAATATTTACTTTACTTTTCCCATGTCTAAGTTTAAATGTAAGCTGGAGTGGTCAGATTCTAGTAGAACTTGCTATATGATTTTGCGGTTGGCTTTTTTTAAAGGTTTTTGTATCCATGTTAATGTCATCAGTTACAAATTGAATGGCTGTCTTTAAGATTGTTCTCTAACTTAAGCACTGACCATCACAATTTGTTCCTGGCAGTTTTTTTAGCGCAGTAGCAGTTAAGTTGCAGTAGCAATACCTATAAGGAAATACCAAACACAGCCACAAGTTATTGTTGCATGAACCTTTTCTGACCGTACGCAAGTAATATTTCCTAGTTTTCATAATTTATTTTCAAGATGGCACTAATTTCTTTACTTCATCTTGCTGTTTTGCAAACCTTACATACATGTTTTTGTTTTAGGAAGATGGGAAGTAGAAGGGCTAAAAGAAAACACAGTGCCTGGAGACCAAGGATTAGTATTAAAGTCAACAGCAAAGCATCATGCCATATCAGCTATGCTAACAAAGCCATTTATTTTTGCTGATAAGCCTTTGATTGTTCAGTAAGTAACTCTTTAGACTTGTATTTAAATTTTTTTCTAACACTGACATATCTTTAAAAATAACTTAATATTTTTGTTCCAAGATTCAAGAGCCTTCAAGAGACATTTGGATGTCTATCTTGCTGGGATCCTATGACCCCTGCTGACTTCCTGCCCTTTGGGCAGGGGGCTGGACTCAATGATCTCTCAAGGTCCCTTCCAGCCCTAATGTCTATGAAATCTGACTTCCATTGCACCATTGTTTGCCTTAACTGTAGAAAAATCTGAAATATATGATGGAGTTAAATATACAAGTAAGACATTTAAAAGTAATATTTTTAGTTTTTAAATCTTTGGAACCAAATAAAGTTGTTTTTTTTTTTTATTCTGTTATGTTAAAATTGAGGAGAATAGGTTTTGAGTAACAGAAAAATATTTAAGAATCCATAAATCTTATATAAAACTGTTGAAAATAGAAGGCTTTTGAGATAATTTCAGGTAGCTATAAATAGAAAATGCAGGTTTAGAATTTTTAAAAGAGTTGATTGATTTGTAGGATATTTCTACATGATGTAATGCAGTGCCTCATAGAGACCCAAGGTAGGTCCGGTCCCAACAGTACAGCTGTGTTTGTGCTGTACTCTGGGATTTTTAGCAGGGTAAACTGGCATCAGCAGAGCACTGTACTAACATAGTTACAGTGCTTCCAGATTCCTGTAGGTCAGTGGTTTTCAACCTTTTTTCATTTGTCGAATCCTTTGGAAACTTCAGAGGGAGGTGTGGGTTCCTGTGAATGGTAAGTGTGGGTATTCACATGCTTTTGATCATAGTCATCTTTTGTGGATCCCTTACATAGTCTGCAGAACCCCAGGGGTCCATGAACCACAGGTTGAAAACCACTGCTGTAGGTAGTTTAGAAGCAGCTAAGGGAAATGGCTGCTGTAGCTAAATGTAGACGGTGTTACAGACTAAGCACGAAGATGACAAGCTTCTGCGGAGCGAAAGTTATTCTCAAACTTTTTTATTAGATATTACTAGCACGGTGGTGTTTTAAATTCATTTCAAATGTTAATTGCCTTCTGTTGCAATTATATTAAATGTTTTAGCCAATTCTACAAAAGTATTTGGGGGTACTAATGAATATAAGAATACTAATGATAATACACAATCTTAAGAATGGATTGATTTTAAAATTGCAAATCAGGAGTGAATTTTAAGATCTCAACAGTATGCTTACTTATTTTCTTCAATTCAGATATGAAGTGAATTTTCAAGAAGGCATAGATTGTGGTGGCGCATACATTAAACTTCTGTCCAGCAGTGATGACTTGGATCTGGTATGATGTTTCACATTACGTTGTATTGCTCTTCATTTTGGAGATACGTGATCATTGCGTTTTACAGAGTACCATTAATGGCATGATGCTCAGAAATTAATTAAATATATGGGAAGATTGACTCTCACAATTCCTATGTTTTTCTAATGTGAGCTGAGCTTGTCTAAAATTCCATATATATATATATATATATAACATCTCCAGAATTGGGTGGCTTCCTAAATCAAATGCAGTGCTATCAACAGATTTTACCAGAGACCATTTCACTTATAACTTTTTTAACTGTTAACCTATAATAAAAAGTGAAAGAACTATAGAAGTCCGGTGCACACAGTAAGACACCTAATTAAGCCCTTCATTTTGTGTTAGAATGGGAAATAGCTAGGATTAAGTTTCAGTAAAAGATAATTAATGATCTTGTCTGATGTCCTGCAGTAACATGGACCATACAGCATTAGTCATTAATGTCTTCTGCATCAAAACTTTAACTTACACTCAAACTCAAGACTCTCTCTTTTTTAAAGTATATACTGTAGAATTGTAACAGGAAGGTCTGTCTCCTTAACCAGCCAGCTCTACTAAGAACCTGCAGCTGTGGTGCATTTTGGTAATGAGGGAGTTTCCCACTGGGAGCTTAAAAAACAGAGGAGAGAACAGAAAGAGGCAGTCTGTGAGGGATACAGCTTGGAAGGAGATTTTGGTTTGAAATGCTGTTGACTCTGTTGGGGCCCAGTCCAATAAACTAAATGATAAATCATGGACCTTTTGGCTTTTGACTAATATTATGCCCTTCTGCAAGTGGGTAAGCATTATCCTAAGTTAATTTTCTATGTGAGGTGCCGCTTAGTTCACAAAAGCTTTATGCAGGGGTGCCTTGTATCTAGAAAGGTAAAGAACCACTGATTTAGTTGGTGTGAATTGCCTGTATGTGGACTTCCATGGTTGATTCAAGACAAGTTAGTGTAGATTAGTGGTAACATTGCTGAGCAGATTTGGGATGACCAGATTTGGGTTAGGGTCTGTGTGAAGAGGGCTGCCCTCATGGAGCTGTTACCTTGACTCTGCAATGCCATGGCACTCAAATGGAGGAAACAGTTCCAGTCAGAAGTGTGTTGCCACTGTTAACTGGCTATCCCAGGTAACTGGCTAACCCAGACTGATGGTTCAGTAACTAATCAGTAGGGTCTTAAGAATTCACTTGTCATTATTGTGGTGATGGAGGTTTGTGAGGTGGTTTACTTGGAGCTGGTAGATATAGTTGTTTTACCTGGGGGAAAAATGGTTTTAACAGAATATTCACCTATGGGGATCATATGGCATGGGGCTGTTCTTATCTGGTACAACGAGTTCTTAACTGTTAGCTGCTGAGATGGTATTACTTGTGGAAAATGTTGGTCAAACCCATAAAGGCAAGTTCATGAACATCAGTGTGGGATGTGTTGCCAAAGTGCCTGAAGCCAGAATAGAACTGATACTTAACTTTTTGGACAAGAAAGAACCATTTTCCCCTTCATGCTTATCACCAGGAATAGCTGTACTTACCGCTGTGAGGGAATCTAGTTACTGCCCTGGCTCATGAAGTGATACCTTCACCTGAAAGCTACTGGCAGAAGGTATAATTACTAGGGCCCTACTGAATTAATGGTGGAAGTGGGCTGCTCAGAGGCTCCTTGAATCTTGTATGTTCCCCTGTGCACCACCCTCTGCCGATTGGCAGAGGGACCCTGCTGCTCACTTCTAATTGTCAGGGACATGAAAACCATGGTTTTAAATATGGCGCCATTTTTGCCTTGCAGCTGGTCAGCAGCAAGCAGCAGGGCTACCAGGGCCTCTTAGTCAGTCAGCAGTGTGGTGGGGAGGAATGGAGGAGGGTTCATGGGGAACCTGTAAGATTAAAGGAACTGTCACATAGCCCACTTCTGCTGTGTATTTGCTAACACCCCAATAATTACACACTGAGCCATTGTAGGATGATGGTAGTGTATGCTGATTGAAGATGGGATGGCACTATATAGAAATCTTTTTGGATGCCAGTTTGCCAAATATTATTATATTGGGATGTGTAAATCCCTGCACATATTTTGCAAGAAGGATGATGAGCATTTTGTGCGCACAAGTGATTTTTTTTTAAGCCCAGTATAGGCAAGCAGGAGGTGAACTGGTCACTGAGGCTGGGTGCAGGTTTCTCGGAAGATGAGAGATGCTTTGTTTGCTCAGATCCTTGCAATATGTAGTGATATGCAGAAGTCCAGCTTTTCCATTCTCCATGGAAAAACCTGACTTTTATCATTTTAAACGAGAAAATCCACATTTTTTTTCTTTAAAGGAGAAAAAAAACCGTAGGAAACAGCAGGTTTCCCCTTGCAGGTTGGCAGAGTTCCAGCCTGCAAGGGGCTTGGGGGAGTGGGAGGAGGGTGATCAGGCAGGGGGTGCCATGTGTATGTGTGTGTGCACACATGCACATGGCAGCCAGGCAGCATGAGAGCAGCTGCAGGTAAATTTAGGGGGGGGGCAGGATTGAGGCTACCATAGGGAGGGAGGGAGCTGGAACTGGGGGTGCTGCCTAGCCAAGGTGGTGCAAGGGGCCTTGAGCTTGGGGTCTGCAGCCAGGTCAGGAATGTGCAGCCTTAGGGCCCCAGCGGGAAGTGGGAGGGAGCTGCAGGCA